TTTTGGTAGGATTAATCTCTTTTAGTTAAATAGAAACTACGGTAAAAAGGAGTACACAGAAACTTAAGCAAACTATAAGGAATTTTTTAATATGGTAATAGAGTTAGAAGAAAATATACTGATCGCATTGTATGTTTTTTGTTTGTAAGTGGGTTTTGGTGATGTGTTGTATGTTTGTTTGTGTACAATATGAAAAATAATAAAAGTGTACCTACGGGTACTTTAAAAAAGAAAAAAGAAAAAGAGCAGTTTCTTTCAGAGCTCTCTCAGCACCACCTACTTCCGAGGGTGTCTGTTGTGGGGAGGGGAAGGGGAAGGAGTTTGTAAGCCGCTCTGAGAGTCCCTTGGGTAGTGAAGGGCGGGGTATAAATCCAATCTCTTCTTTCCTTCCTTTCATCTGATCCTTTCCTTTGAAGTAGAATGCTACTCTTAGGGGCAATTTCCTCTGCTTCCGCTCTCACACTCTCTCTCCCATGCATGAAGATGGTGCTTGATCTCCATCTTGAACCATGGAGGCTGGACATGCGTCCAGCATCCAACACCATCTAGCTAGTTAGAATAGGCAATCTGGATCTATCTCTTACCTGCACTCTCCAGCATGTATTTCCTTTAATAAATGTTACTTATTAGTTTTAGGACTGCTGACTCTGTGTGACTTTGTAAGTCTGTTGCCACACCAAGCCCCAAGCTCTGCTGCGTTTAAAACTTTGAGCACTTTGCTATTTTCCCATGGTTCTCTGGCAGTACCTGGTCCAGAGAATCCAACACCCGGATTCTCCCCGCGTACCTGCTGCTGGATGTGGATCTGAGAGAGTCGCTGGAGTCTGGCGGCGTGGTCAGGAGCGGCTGAAAAGACCAGAGTGGAGATCAAGAGAGATTCTCACTACGGATGGGCTCACAACAAGTTAAGAGGCTCCTTTCCCTTTCTAAATCATATAAACGTTCTACGGACTATTATTACGGGCAGCTCTTCTCACAATGCAAAGCCACTATAAACATCAATGACTGATCCACATTGTTGTCACACACTCAGTAAAGGTTTTCCAACATTCATGAAAAGCAGCATACGCTCTGAAACGTGAGCAACACACATTTAGTTTAGTCGTGGCACACACCTCTGCTCTGATTTAATTTTATTTACCTTTTCATTAATTATTCACACAAAATTAAATGAAACGTATTAGCTGCATTATTCAATATTTTGTTCTGAGTCAACTTTGAACCTCTTATCTGGTTGTTTTTCAGATGTTCTGTTTATTGTTCTATTAATATGTTGACTATACTGTCTTAGTAATTATCTCCCGTGCTACATAATATGTAAGATCTTGTTATTGTGTAATCACCACTTTGTTTGTTACTTCAATTATTATTACATTCAATACAATTTAATAACAAAAAAGCAGGCTTTGCCGACCGCCTCTCAAACATACAAATCCTGTTAGTTTAGAAAGTCCAGGGCTATTTTTGGGCAGGAACGGAGTTCCGGCTGGCTCCCGAGTTGGCCACGCCCAGCAGGAACTCATTAGCCTAATAGGCCACACCCAACAGCAGAAACTCATTAGGATTGGCTACATTAGGGGTGTGTGGACTAACATGCAAAGGAGTTCCTGCTACAAAAAAGGCCCTGGGTTTTGACAACAAACAAGGTAAACAGAATAACAAGCAAAAGGTGGGTGTGGCTGGATGACCACACTTCTGGTAACATGGGGGTGCGGCCTAATGTGCTAATGAGCTGTGCTGTCAGGGGTGTGGCCCAATATGCTAATGAGTTCCTGCTGTTGGGTGTGGCCTATTATGCTAATGAGTTCCTGCTGGGCGTTTTCTACAAAAAGAGCCCTGAGAAAGTCTATTTGTCGAGTCTCATAGAGGCAGACCGTGATGTTCGAACTTGGGGTGTTTTGTTCGTTATTAACAAATGAGCATTTGTCCATTGCCATGCCACTGTGAGCACTGCTGGTCACAGGCCATGCATTCAGTAACACATCTGTGTGGCATACATTCATCCGCCCAAGACAGGGTGCGGAGGACTGGAAATCACTGTAGGTTAGTTTTTTGGCAACGTTACCAACTTTTGCGTTCTGCTGAAAGAGACGTGACCTGTGTTTTAAGACCACCGATTTGGAGACCTGCTCTCTATTACAACAGGAGCCCCTTCACCCGTGGAAGGCATGAACACAGGAAGAAGCTGCCTTATGCCGAATCAGACCCTTAGTCAATCAGTGTTCAGTACTGCCGACTCAACTGACAGCAGCTCTCCAGGGTCTCAGGTGGAGAAAGGTCTTTCACACCACCTACTGCCTGATCCTTTGAAGAAGATGAAAAAGAAGAAGAGGGAGGAGGAGATTGGATTTATACCCCGTCCTTCACTTGGAGTCTCAGAGCGGCTTACAAACTCCTTTCCCTTCCCCTCCCCACAACAGACACCCTGGGAGGCGGGTGGGGCTGAGAGAGCTCTGACAGAAACTGCTCTTTTTCAAGGACAGCTCTTGTCAGAACTACGGCTTGCCCAAGGTCATCCAGGAGGTGCAAGTGGAGGAGTGGGGAATCAAACCTGGTTCTCCGAGATTAGAGTCCGTGCACTTAACCACTACACCAAACTGGAGATGCCAGGGATTGAAAGTCAGACCTTCTGCATGCGAAGCAGATGCTCCACCATTGAGCCACGGCCCTGTTTTGACAAGAAACATAAACTGGGCTTGATGCAGGAAGAAATGAAAATGAGATTAGAATGATATAACCTGTTGGAGCATAAGCTTCTGTTTGGTGTAGTGGTTAAGTGTGCGGACTCTAATAAAGTCATCCTTGCGACTGAGACGTGACTGACGTTAATCGATAGTACCCTTACACCGGGCTTGATTCCCCACTCCTCCACTTGCACCTGGCTGGATGACCTTGGGCAAGCCGTAGTTCTGATAAGAGCTGTCCTTGAAAAAGAGCAGTTTCTGTCAAGAGCTCTCTCAGCCCCACCTACCTCCCAGGGTGTCTGTTGTGGGGAGGGAAGGGAAAGGAGATTGTAAGATGCTCTGAGACTCCTTTGGGTAGTGAAGGGCGGGGTAGAAATCCAATCTCTTCTTGTTCTCTTCTTCTTCTTGAAGCAGCTCACAATTTTAACTTTAACCTGCTAAAATAAACACGTTTAAAAAGGGGTGTATGGATATACACGGGCATCATGCCAACTTCTCTCCCCGTAAAAAGTTCAACAGATACATGGATCCTGGCTCCCAACCTAGAAGCAGGCATTCTGGCACCTGAAACACAGGTGCTGAAAGAGAAAGGGAGACTCACCTTTGATATGTGCACTGTCCAGGTAAGGCTTCAGGCTGTCCACCTGCTCCAGAAGCGCCACCTGAGCCAGGATGGATGGTTCTTCTGGGTTCGGACACAAGGACACGGGTCAGTGGAGGCAGGAGCAGTCAGTTACCAGAGCCGGTCAACTTACAGATGCTTAGGAAACAGATCGGCCAGTATTATCTTGCCCCTGTATAAATCTACGGTGCGGCCTCATTTGGAATACTGTGTACCGTTCTGGTCGCTGCACCTCAATAAAGCTATTCTAGCACTGGGAGAAGGTGCAGAAAAAGGCAACTAAAATGATTGAGGGGATGGAATACCTGCCCTATGAAGAAAGTCTGAAGAGGTTAGGGCTCTTTAGCTTGGAGAAATGACGACTGAGGGGTGACATGATGGAAGTTTACAAAATTATGGATAATTCTCCCTTTCCCACAAGACAAGAACTCGTGGGCACTCAAGGAACTTAACAAGCAGTGGGCTTAGAACAAATCAAAGGGAGTACTTTTCCACCCAAACAGTCATTAACATGTGGAACTCATTGCCGCAGTAAGTGGTGGAGGCTATAAGCATGGATAGAGATGTAAAATTTCCGGAAACTTTGAAGTATGGAAAAAAACACGGGTTTTTCTTTTTGGAAAAAAACGGCAATGTTTGGAAAAATTGAAAAAAATGCTACATTAGCATTTCTTTTTTCTTTTCTAGATTGAAAGTCATTCTGTTACTTTAGGAACATAAAATATGACTATGGACATTTTTACTTGGCATGAAATTATCACAACTAGCATATTAAAAATATAGTCTATCCAAACAATTATTACAAACAGAATACCCACCCACATGCAAAAACAAAACTGAAACCTTTTTATTTTCTTCTGACAATAGCACCTCCTAAAGGAAGAAATGCATCTTGTTCTTGCACTGGAGAGTTCAGTTTGTAACCTAGGACTTGCTTGTCCTCAGTGCACAGAAATTAGATCAATCTGATACCATATATATATATATATTTTACAAATGATTTGGAAAATATTTGAACACCTTGTCTTAAAATATTCTATTCATCATGTTAAATTAAAACGTTCCATAATCAATTTCTTTTCTTTTCTTTTCTTTTTTCAATTTTTCCAATTTTTCACAAAAAAACCAAAAAAGGCTTCAGGAAAAAAAATGGGGAAAAAACGTTTTTTCCTTGAATTTTTCCGGGCCTTCACATCTCTAGCATGAGTCAGCAATGTGATGCGGTAGCGAAAAAGGCAAATGCGATTTTGGGGTGGGGGGGGGGCTAGTCGCCCGTTGTATCGCCCTGCTCAACGGGCCTTGCTCCCTAGTATATATATATTTTAGAAATGATTTGGAAAATATTTGAACACCTTGTCTTAAAATATTTTATTCATCATGTTAAAATAAAACGTTCCATAATCAATTTTTTCCTTTCTTTTTTCAATTTTTCCAATTTTTCGGAAAAAAACAAAAAAGGCTTCAGGGAAAAAAACCCCCCCCCCCCCGAATTTTTCCGGGCCTTCACATCTTTAAGCATGGACGACTTCAAGAAAGGATTGGATAAACATATGGAGCAGAGGTGCACCAGTAGCTAGGTATTTATTTATTTTCGTATTTGTATCCCGCCCATCCCGAAAACGGGCTCAGGGCGGGTCACATCATCTTCCAACAATACAATAAAGATGGAACACTCTGTCTAGGGCAGTGATGTTCTGTCTTCTTGGTGCTTGGGGGGGGCATAGTGGGAGGGCTTCTGGTGTTCTGGGCCCGCTGGTGGACCTCCTGATGGCACCTGGGCTTTGGCCACTGGGTAACACAGAGTCTTGGAGTGGAAGGGCCACTGGTCTGATCCAACAGGGCTTCTCTTATGTTCTTACTGCGGCCCAAGTCTCAGCGCAGGATACAAAGATGCATCGCTTAATCCATCAGGCCACAAAAAACAGTGCACAAGGCAAACAATACAGCTTAAAATACTCCAACCTCCAATGGCTAACACAATATTGTATTTGTGTCATTACACGAAAATACCTGCCAAGATGAATTGCAGCTTCATGGCATCCGGAACAGCCATGCGGTCGATGTACTGGGGATCCAAATATTTTATGATGTCTTCAACTTCAATTGTCAGCATAACATGAAAGAGAGAAAAATGGGAACTTCAGAATGTGACAGCAACAGAGTGAACATGGATCACCAGACAGAAAGCCTTCAGCACAGAGGTGTCGATGTACTGGGGATCCAAATATTTTATGATGTCTTCAACTTCAATTGTCAGCATAACATGAAAGAGAGAAAAATGGGAACTTCAGAATGTGACAGCAACAGAGTGAACATGGATCACTAGACAGAAAACCTTCAGCACAGAGGTTGGACCAGATCCAACGGGTTGAAATTAAATTGGAAGAGTTTTCGGCTGAACATTAGGAAGAGCTTTCTGACAGAGTGGTTCCTCAGTGGAATGGGCTTCCTCGGGAGGTGGTGGGCTCTCCTCCTTTGGAGGTTTTTAAGCAGAGGGTGTATGGCCCTCTGACAGCAATTCAGATTCTGTGAACTTGGGCGGATCATGAGAGGGAGGGCAGGGAGGGTTGCCGCAGTGCTTAGTTCTCGCGGCCCTTTCTTGCACGCCCAGGGAAATGCTGGTCGCTGTTTTGTGGTCAGGAAGCCATTTTTCTCCAGGCCCGTTTGGCTGGAGATCCTGGAGGCTTTTTTTGTCATTTTCTGGGGATCTGAAGGGGGAGGTATTTGTGAATTTCCTGCATGGTGCAGAGGGTTGGACTAGATGACCCTGGAGGTCCCTTCCAACTCTATGATTCTAGAGACCCTGAATGCATTCACTCACAATGAAGAGAGGCTAAAAGTGTCAGGCTGCACTGACCTTCAGCCAAGTCTTAGTTCTCCCATTTGCAATGTGGGAATTTCAACAGCGACATCTCTAACAAGGCTTACTGAGAATTAAGATCAGAGGAAGAGGCCCTCCTAACTGTCCCATCGATCAAAGAAGCCCATCTGGAGGGTAAAAAAGAGACAGCCTTTTTGGTGGCAGCCCCACGACTACTGAACAACCTCCACAGGGAGGTGCACCCAGGCCCCTCATTTGTGATCTTCAGGAGACAGCAGAAGACAGGGTTTTTTTCAGGACGCCATTTGATTAAAGCAGTCTCACACTGTGATTATACATTTTGGGTTTATTTTTATGCCATTTGCTACGTATTTTATTTCTAGGGTAAACTACTCCGAACTTCAAAGGAGAATATATATGTGTATATATATGTATATGCAGGGGTCATTTCATAGAAAAAGAGCTGCAGGAGCTCATTAGGGAAGAAATTAAAAGGTACTTACTTTTTTTGTAAAGAATTTTAACCCTCTCTCTTTTGCTTGCGATGTTCCCCAAAGCCATGTGGACTTTGACCAAGCCATCTGCTATCTGAAAAAGAAGAGTTGGGGTTTTTTTGTCCCGTTTTTCTGTACCTTAAGAGTCCCAAAGCAGTTTACAATCGCCTTCCCTTCCTCTCCCCACAATAAGCACCTTGTAAAGCAGGTGGAGCTGACAGAGAACTGTGACTGGCCCAAGGTCACCCAGCGGGCTTCATGTGGAAGAGTTGGGAATTAAACCTGGCTCTCCAGATCAGAGTCCGCCACTCTTAGCGATGACACCATGAAGACTCCCATGCTGGGGAGAAATGAGCCTTTGATTGACAACTGAATGAAATCAACAGTATAAAGCAGGGGTGTCGAACTCATTTGTTATGAGGGCCGGATTTGACATGAGACCTCATGGGCCAGGCCACGTGTGTCATAAAATGTAATGCCAGGTAGCAGAGATATAAACTTTATAAAGGACACAAACACAAAGGGTTTT